TAAGCCGCCCTGAGTCCCCTTAGGGAAAAGGGCGGCATACAAATGAAATAAAACTCAAACTCAAACTTGTTTTATGTTCTGTTTTACAATTGTTGAAATATTTGTGGTATTAAAGATAAGAGTCCTCTGTATGATTAAATACAGTATAATTTTCTACAGATCAAGCCCACTAAAATAAGGGATGGAATGGATCTGGTTTAGCAGCATACTTGGGACTGAAATACTGGAAATGCTAATTAAAGGTGTTTAACATAATAGCATGTGCCAAATGTGCTATATTTTGTATAACAGTTTATGCTTCTTTCATGTAGTAAACATCTTGCTGCTAGAAAGAAGCATTCATTCATTCATGCATGGATTTTTTTTTCCCATTTCAGCCAAATGAGTTTGAGCAGTTCCGGAAAGCATATATAATGAACAATCTCTTTCATAAATATAAAGGTGTGTGTGTGTGTGTGTGTGTGTGTGTGTGTGTGTTTTAAGTAGCACCTTTGGTTTGTCATCAAAGATCAGCTTGACAAAGAAAATCAAAGATCAAATCATGAAGTAATTTAATACATTTATAATACATCAAACAACAAATATTTCAGATACACACCGCAAAAGATATAAATATGGTTCATTCATGGGAGGAGATGGGTATTTTTTGGCTTCAGAAAGGATCTATTGAATCCTACTCTGAGAAAGATTATTGTGAATAGAATAATGTCCATCTTCATACACTGCATAATTTACTTGTTCAATGTATTTGTGTGTGTGTGTGTGTGTGTGTGTGTATGCGTGCTTGTGTGCATGTAAAAGGTAAAGGTTCCCCTCGCACATATGTGCTAGTCATTCCCGACTCTTGGGGGCGGTGCTCATCTCCATTTCAAAGCCAAAGAGCCAGCGCTGTCCGAAGACGTCTCCGTGGTCATGTGGCCAGCATGACTAGATGCCAATGGCTCACGGAACGCTTTCACCTTCCCACCAAAGGTGGTTCCTATTTTTCTACTTGCATTTTCACATGCTTTCAAACTGCTAGGTTGGCAGAAGCTGGGACAAGGAACGGGAGTTCACTCAGTTACACAGTGCTAGGGATTCGAACCGCCGAACTGCTGACTTTTCTGATCGACAAGCTTGGTGTCTTAGTCATTGAGCTACCACATCGTGTGTGTGTGTGTGTGTGTGTGTGTGTGTGTGTGTAAATTTATAAAAGCCATGCTTCCCAATTCTCCCAAGAGAATCTGCAAATAGATATGATTTATCGAGTTATTTGTGTGACCTTGGACCAGCCCAATTCACCATATAGGGCTGTTGTGGGGAAAACAGGAAGAAGGAGGTGTATTGAATATGTTCCCTGTCTTGAGTTATTTGTAAAAACAAGGCAGGATGCAAATAAATAATGATAGATTGCTTTACCTATAGTTTATGAATATTTACTCTCACTAACAGTAATTATAATTCAAGTTTCAGTTTAAATATGAAACAATCAATCATGGAAATTAAATTTTCTGGTTTATAAATTTTCCCTTATAGCATACATATGGTCCTGAAGTAGTAAAGACTTGGGAGAGTGCTGTTTTAACTTCATCTGAAGAATATAAACACGGTAGTGCCTCTGTAACAAGCCAGTTTTTATAGTTTGGTTAAATCTGATAAATTACACAATGGACTAAATGTTATGTTAGATCAGAAATACCTCTCTTTTTTGCTTCTGCCACCATTTCATCGTATTCTTGTCTGTGGCGTAAAGCCTCCTCTGTAGATTTTGCAGGAAGGTTCCTGAAAATAATTTTAAGTACTGTATAGGTTAATCAAATTAAAGTCTTACTAAATGTTCCATCCGTTAAAAAAAATGGTATGTTTGAATGGTACATTTTCCCAACGGATCCTTCATTTTCCAGGTTATCGCAAATAATTTACATAAGAACATATGACTAATGTTTTAGGAGCAAGTCTCATTACAAATAATGGAACAAGTTATAGTCTGAACTAAATGGTTTTACGCTAAAACAGTTCAGTTTCTAGATTCAGTGCAGGGTGCATGTCAAACCAAGAACCAAGGATATTTGAAGGATAATCTGAAATGATACAGGATTATTATTGCTCTATCTGAAAGAGACCTGAAATTATTGAATAAGAGTGCTGAAAATTGTTTAAAGTATAAACATATCCCATCATTGGTTCTGAGAACATGGGAAAAATATACCAACGCAAGTATGTGCAGAAATAAGATCAAAAAGATAAGGGTTCCATGAAACCCAAAGGAATAGACCCCTAAGATATAATATAATTAGTCTCCAGTGTACTGTGCAACTCTTTTCATTATTCAACTGTTCATCTATGTTTGAGAAAGCATTAAAAAAAATAGGGCCATACCTTTCCACACAAACTTTATATATCCATTCTGACATCCTTCTCTCCTTCCTTGCTACAAAATAATAGACATCCCAAACCCTGAAGCTCTAATAATTTGCTTTTCATCTAACTCCTACTCCAATCACTCAAATAATTTACTCTTTCCCTGAAGTCAAAATATCCTCGCAGACCAAACTTAAAAGAAATGTTAGAAGGATTTTAGAAAGTGTTCTGTTGCTACTCTAATTAGCGATAGGAGTGATTTGAGAAAAAAAAACTGACTAGAGGATTTAAAAAGCTCTCTACATGGGGGGATGTGCCAGCATTACATATGTGGACAAGGAGTACTTGCGTCGTGCAAATAGATAGCTGCATATTTTCATGGTCTGGCCCAGTGGTGGGTTGCTCATCCCGTTCCAACCGGTACGGTTCGAACAGGGCCGGCGGCGTCCTCGTGCACGTGTGCAGTTCATGCATGCGTCTTAGCTCCTGCGCGATGCTCCAGCTGCTCGTGGAGAATCGTGCAGGTGCTGTATGCGCCGTGCGCCTGCGTGGAAGCGCAGAAGCCTTCGAAGACCGGTAAGGAGCGCGGGCGAGTGGGTGGGCCCTTCGGCATTCCCGGAAGTTACTTACTTCCGGGTTCACCGACCAACCGGTCTGCGCGGACCGCCGTGGACTGGTTGAAACCCACCCCTGATCTGGCCTCTAAAAAACATCTTTCCAAGTATGTTATCCGCATTAATGTTGAAAGAACACAGTATGAATCACCCGAGTGTCTATTTCTACTACATCTATTCTATAAATGTTTCATTGTTTACTTCTTTATCAACCCAAGTAGTCTAACCCAGTGTTTCTCAACCTTGGCAACTTGAAGCTGTCTGGACTTCAACTCCCAGAATTCCCCATCCAGCATTCGCTGGC